CCCCTTGTGATCCGATGCCCAGTGGTTGCCTTTAGGAGCGATCATAGTGGAAATGTACAATAAAGATATTTGACTGTAAACTTGGTGTTTGGTGACCCAAGCTGAGGTTCTGACCTCGACTTTTAAAACCACTGAGAAAAGCAAATACACAACTTCGCTGTTGCATCATAAGAAACACGATCTTTAGGAAATGTAGGCAAGAGAAGGCACGTCAAGACTAGAATAATCAGTTTAACATCTCAGATTATAGCAGATATACTGACTTTTCACAAGTTAGAAAAGTCATTTTTATTTTGCACATGAAGCAATTTCAGCAGTTTTTTTCTTGATATTTTCAGTACCTTCCAGAATGAGCTGTTTTAGGGCTCTGTCACTTTAAAGAGCAGGTTCACTGAGAAACTTTTAATTATTATTTTTGAAAATGATCAGTAACTCTGAGTTTAACATGCAGGCTGATTGTGAACATAGTCTTCTACTCCTGTTACCTATTTCCTGCATTAGCTTCTGTTAGGAAACAAAAGAAAAACACTCTGTTCATAAAATCTCGACAGATTTAATTATATTCAACTTTATTTATAAAGCCCCTTCCTACCACACTAATCAAGCAGACCCAAGGTGCTGAATAAACTAAAACACAATAAAACAGCTATATAGTAAAATGCAGAAATACAACATATTAAAATGCAATAAGATATAAAAAAAATCCACAAAACAAAAATGATCGGAACATTAAAAAATGAGTAAAAAAACTAAGAACCTAAGATAAAATGAGATCTACGTCAAACTGTTGTTCAACATGAACAGTCTCACCCATCTTCACTTGCGACAGGATTGTCGAAGGCTGCTGTTTTAGCATCGCAGTAACAGCAGATTACGTCTGACTAGTAGAAGCTAACCGTCAGCATTAGCAACTCCACCACACAGCAGAACTCCTCCAGGCTTGTGTTATTTGTGGAGATAAAACATCAACGTTGCAGAGTGAACGGATTTAGTGGTTGAGTTGTGTTGCTGTTAGCCAATCGGAGACAAGATGTCTAAACATCAGGTAATACAACTTCAAATTCTGTCGTCTGAAGCTAGTTTCTCCTCCAGCTGATATCTACGTGCTTTAAACGTCTGTAAACATTTAAGAAAATAAGCTTTTGCTTAGAAAGCTCATTCGGCCGATAGTGTTTGCCATCTTGTTTTTTTCTTTTGTGTGTGTGTGTGTGTGGGGGGGGGGGGGGGGGGGTTACTACCCAAAGCTCGTTACCATAGAGGAGGTAAGGAATGGAGCTTTGCTGTCTGGCCATGACAGACGGGTACAACGCCCGCATCACTGTAGACGCAGCACCAATCCACCTATCTACCTCTAACTCCACTTTCCATGATCCATCAGTTCTCTGTGTTTTGTAAGTGATGTGGTCCTGTCAGATCTGGGATGTCTTGAGCCGGAAAAAGGATGATGCCTTCTCCGGGGTCAGGGTTAGGGTTAGGGTTAGATCCTGATGAGATCCTTCCCCAAGTGGAGGAGTTTAAATATTTCAGTCTTTAAAAGAAAAATGGAACGCCCCGGCAATAGAATGTCTGATCTGAGACTCCTGACTATCTCCAACTTTAAAATCCAATATGGCCGACCCAGAAAAGTTGTGAAAGCTGCAGAAATAGACTTTATGTTTTTCTATTTACTTCAGTATTTCAGTCACACACACACACACACACACACACACACACGTTGCTGCAGAATCGGAATGCATAAGCACACTTGTTCACTGGAGGGTACTGGTAGTGAGCTCCATCACTTCTGATTTGCATCCGGTCGAGTCGGATGTGCTGTTATTCCACAATCAGAACTCCAACTTCTGGGAAAAATGGAGTGCAGCCCACCCCCACCACTTTACCGCTTAGTTTGCCTTCACATGCAGCTGCTTCATGTTCGTGTATTCTCAGGACCTACACCAGCTATCCCCATTGAGCGGCTGCTGTTGGCTACATGCAGGGTGTGACTGGTTGCGCGGGCCTCTCCTCGGCGTAAAGCGGTTGCTTTAATTTGTGCTGGGTCAGAAGCAGAGGTCATATTTTTGAGAGCGAGAGGAGAAAAAGCACACCAAGGTCACACGCTAGTTTTCCAGCTGCCGTGTGATCAAACTGTTTCTAATTAGAACCGTATCATTAAGTAACTTTATGATATCAAAGCTGGCAGCCTCGGTTTTCCCAAGCAAAACTGACTTCATGAGCGGCTGACCATAATTTGGGGGTTTGCTGCATTTGTGTGTGTGTGTGTGTGTGTGTGTGTGTGTGTGTGTGTAGGGAGGCAGGGATGATAGGCGTTCCTCCAGAGACTGAGGTGTTTGGGAGAGGAAAATGGTCGGTAAGGAGTCACGTATGTGTTTGTTTGGCCCAGGAGCAAGACAACGCCGGGATGAAAGAACGAGGAGTCGGCAGGAACGTCGCTGCGTCACGCGGGGAGGCTTTCAGCTTTTAAGTGTCACTGGTGTGAAAAAAACTTTAAAACCTTCCCGTGCCTCATACAGGCTGAGGATGCAGCCGCTGTGACTGCAGCCAGTTGTCATAGTGATGAGGAAAAACAAACAAAAAAACAAAATCAACAGTTTGTGTGGAGAGAAAAAAAGATGGCAACAGAAATCTTGACATTTACGACGTGGTTTACCAGAACAGTTTGACTTCATTTGTTTTCTTGCTTCTTGATAGGAAAATGGATTTCTTATTTATTATATTTAAATCTGAAGCCACATTGTCAGGATGCAAAACCTAAAAAAGGATAAATAGAACGGGACTCTATAAACAAATGAGATGATGAGGTTTCATTTGTGAAAAGGCGTTGTGCACAACCAGCTAAGAAGAACAAACGTGCCAGGAAGTTGTCACTGAGATGATCTGATAAAGCTGAGGTCAATGGGACACTTTGCAACTTTTTCATATTTTTACATCATTTTCTCGAGCCATTATGTGCTAAAATGACCCTTCACAGGGTTAATAAAAGCCACTTGCAACATCAGACTGGCGGGACGCTCGGTTGGGAAAATTGATGTGACATACCTGGCGCTGCAGCCTGCTTCCAGCACATTTCCTGCATGTGTTAGACCATGAACCCAGCTGATTTAATTTAATGATGAATCACTCTTGTAGACACTAATAAAGGCTGGGGCGACGTTTCAGATGTTTAAGGTGTTAAAAAGACGAACGCACAGTGAGAACATAGGTTTTGCTTTCGATTCTACAAACGGACACCAGGGGGTGCTAAAAGCAAGCCAGAGCTGCCTAGTTCCCCTTTAACAACATGCTGGTGAACTTTACTCGGTTGTAATTAGATCTTGTAGTCTGGACCCTGGACACACGTATCCTGGTATCCCACAAACGGATAACGTTCTACGGTTCGGCTGGCCATCCTCACCAAAATGAAGATAAACGTCACCAAACACGATTCTTTCAAAAACTACGACCCAAGTGGAGATTTGCAAATCCTCAGTAGTCAGCATTTGCTTGGGAATGTAAATAACCAAACTTTTAGGATTGTCATATTCCATTTTTTGTAAACATTATTTTTTATTATTATTATTATTGTTTCAGCTAGTAGCTCTAGCCACCGTCACCGGGATCTCCGAGGCTTGGCATGCCTTTGAATGTGCTTCATAATGCACTGGAGTGTTTTCCTGCTGAAAACGGTGCGGACCCGAGCTTTTCCCCAGAAGAGCGGGCGATAAAACATGAACTCAGCTACGTGTGCTCGTGACCTAAAACAACATGTGATATTTATGGAGCCACAAACTGTGCTTTCAAAGGATAACGTGTTAAAATTTCATGAAGTACTTTAAAACCAAATGTACCATTACATATATATATGTATGTATATATATATATATATATATATATATATAATCTTTAAAAAAAACTGGTGCAAAAATCTAATAAAATTCGATTTTCTGAAGTTTTCACGACTTATGGCAGCGGCTCAAAGATCTCCAGTAGGAAATGTGTGAAGTGATTCTTTAAACACGGGCTGCTTAATGGCGTTTGTTCAGTTCACTGAAGCATCGTGACCCTTCACGGCCAGGTCGTCAGTCAGCCATGGCTGGAAAGTGGAAGGATTCAACGGGAACAAAGGGAAGTGAGGATCTGGGAAGAGTCTTGAGTCTCAACAGTGGAGCCGAATCCCCGGAGACCTCTGGCTGTCTCGCTCCGTCTGTTGACACTCTCCTTTTTCATTAACCCCTTATCAAAATGTTTTCCTCTCCCACACTCCACCGACATGAACACAATTCCCATTTTCCCTCACAGCAGATCCTGTTTCAGCTCCTCCCCCTTGTGGTCAGATTTGGGACTTCAACACCAACAAGAACAGATGTTTAATCTGGTTCAATCAAATCATTCTACTTACACTTAAATTAGGATGCTTGAATCTTTTTACTTTTTGATGCAATAAAACATTTGAGTACAATAACACAATTCTACACTTTTAAACAACTAAACCAATTGAAATAAATGCTGAGTATTTTTTAAAAGAGCCTCTTTGCAAAAACCCAACGATGGAAATGAGCCGAAATAACCGACGAACTCAGATAATCCTGCCGAGACAAAATATTCATATGAAGTGTTGTGGGCTGGGCTCCTGCAGCCTCTTCTGTAGTTCCTCACCACCAGTTTTAACTACTCCAACCAAAGCAGAACGACTGCAGGTCATCTGCATGACTAAACTTTGTTCTTAGTTTAGTTAAAATTCATTATTTTAAAAATGAGACTAGTTTTAATAACTTAACCAAGATGTTTTCCAGCTGTTGAAAAATAAGCCAAGATGTTGATCTTTACTGAATAAATCATGCTGCCATAGCGCCTACTAGTGGTTGGAAGAGTGCACTCACCATCAGCCTTCCTGTTCTCCATCCTAAAGTCAAGTCTTCCCTAGAAATCTGATTTTTAAACTCTTCCAAACATGTTATTTTTCCTGGAAAATCTAGTCTTGCATCCTTCCATCTGGTCTCTTCACAAAAACCAGCACGAGATCACCGAGAACAGTTTAATTATCAAACTGTACTTCATGTACAATCCTCTGAAGAAGTGACAGAAAATGATAAAACAACATTAAATCTTGTAGATTGTTTGCTCAGAGCTCCGGTGTTCAGACGTCCAGGCTGGTTGTTATGGAAACAGAAAAGCAGACATTTATGCCTAATTTATGAAAAACAAGCATAGACTTGTTGATATTTGTAAACATCCCTTATCCAATGTGGATCTCAACCGTATGGCAAATTTGAAATCAGCTGAGTTTTCTTTCTTTTTTTTATTGAGCAAAGCGTTTTTGAGGAATCTCAGAATTCCTCCTCGGCATTTTTGCTCCTGGAGGCCTTGAGCTGTCTGAGACGCTCGATGCACCCCTCCACGCTGTGCTCTCCGTGGACTTTGTTGTCTCGGGTACGGACGTTCACCGTGTTGCTCGTCTTCTCCTTCTCTCCCACCACTTCTCCCGAACAGGATGACATGCAGAGACGGTAAAAAGAAAAAGAATCAACATCCAGAGACGCGGAGGGACGAGTACAGGCGGGTGTAAAGTACACGCGTGGGAACACCGACCCAGGATGAAGTTGTACTGAGCTAACTGAGCGTTCCGGATCTTTTTGTTCAGAGTGCAGCCGGAGTCGGCGTCCACGTCGCTCATGAAGCCGTTGCTGTGGAACTCCTGCTTGACCTACAAAGTGAGTAAAAGAACAAAAACCCCGCTTTAGTTTACGTTTAAACAAGTATTTAAGATTGGCCACGTTTAAACTTTTAGCAACAAATACGTTAACATCCGGCGTGTACAAATATTCATTCTACTCGTCGTGCGATTAACCACAAAACATCCCGTTTACGACCGAAACGAGGACGGTTGCAGCGTTTCCGTGGGTCTGTGGTGACGTTCATGCTTCCACATCAGCTGAGCCTACTGCTGCCCGCACCGAGCATCACTTTCCCCGGTTTCTGGTCAGAAACGTCTCTTTCCCTTCCTCCAACATGTTAGACGCAGCAGTCCGGGTTAAAAATACACTCAAAACACTCACTGAACCTGAGAAGTCGTCCTGGGTGCCGATTTTTTTATGAGAATAAAACAAAGTTTTGTAGCAGAAACTCGTGAGATTAGAGAAGATTATAAATTTAAATGTGTTTTCTGAATCCCACACACACACGTCCTGATGAGTCGGCGTCGGCTAGTGTTGGTTTTGTGTAAAAATGACTAAAACGGGTCTCTAATCAGCTCCGTAACCGAGGAACGAAGAAGAGCAGCCCAACGTCCGCGGCCGCACTCGGGCGCTGTCGTGTATCTAGCTGCTTTTTATTTCTTACCAACGTAGAAAACGCCCACAATTGTTCAAGTGATGGAAACATAGAGCCGACTAGGTTCCAGGAAACAGCGCGTAGCTTTACTGTGCACGAGGAAGCGTCTGCGTGAGCCACAACTAGCTGCGGGTTTGTCCTTCAGTCTCAGACTAGAACTTAAATAGTTCACAGGAAAAGTCAGCATCCCTGAAACGTGCGTTTGCACCGGAGCAGCCGGGCGGGGTCAGCGCTTACTTTCTCTGCGTACTCGTCGCAGGTCGGTCCCACGGGAACGACCATGACTTGGCGAGGAGAAAGCCACAGAGGCCTGAAGAAATGAAAAACAGAAGAGGGTGAACATGATCTCCAGGAAAGTTGAGCGATAAAAACGAATCCACAGGAAGCCCTGCTAACATTCCTGGTTGTTCACAAACCATTTTCCTCCACAGCTTTCAGTCAGAATAGCGATCATCCTCTCTACGGACCCCAGGATGGCTCTGTGGATGATCACTGGTCTCTTCTGGTCATCGCCATCACGACTGCACACATTTAAAACTTAAAATAATCAACTTTGGAATATTTAGTTTGATTCTTCATCTCCTCCAGGATCATTTTTCCATAAAGGAAAGCAGTGAAGCCGTTACCCGATGAAGGAGAGGTTAAAGCGGATGGGAAGCTGGAAATCAAGCTGTATGGTGGCACACTGATGGTATCTCCCGATGGCGTCCTTGATCTGAATGTCAATCTGCAAACATGTGACACGTATGTGATCGGCGGCGGCGCTCCTGCTGAGTTACGGCTAAGTGTCATCAGTGCTGCACGGCTCACCTTGGGCCCGTAGAACGCTCCATCACCGGGGTTGAGAACCCATTTCTCTCCAAACTCATTCAAGCTGTTCTCCAGTTGCTGTAAAAACATAAACATTACAGCTCTGCCTCAATCTGGCAAAACAAGACACGGCAGGCTTGTTTTTTATGACTTTGATCCAGAAAATAAAATGATTTCTCGGAAGCGAGTCCTGTGACGGGTCGAGTTCAGCCAGTAGTCATCGAAGGCCAGAAAAACCTTCGTAAGTAATTATAAATAACCAGTCAGCTGTGTTTTGTAAACAAGTAGCTGAATCTTTGACAATAGATGGTTCCTTTGTGAAAAGCTAATGTTAAAAACCACAATCATCTGGAAAAGTAAGTATTTGCAGCTAGAGCCTACGGCGCCAGAAAACAGGAAATAAAAGGAGCGGGGTGAGAATAAATAAAACCGAGACAGCAGGGGGCATAAACCGGGTTATTATGTAAAACTACAATAATTAAATAAACATGCGTCATGAATCGGCTGCAGGTTTCTGCTAGAAGAGCAACACCAGCGGTTCATCTAAGAGCATTACTCATTATGGTCTGTTCAGGCTGGTTTTACATGCAAGCTGAGCCAATTAGAGCCGAAACGTAACCAATCAACCCTGATTAGACATTAGTTGCACCAATAAGATGTTGTAATGAAACATTTTTACAGTTGAAACAAAGAAGGTGCCAGCAAAGAAAAGCTGATGTTTCCAGCTGGAGCCGTTTAAAAACCACGTATGTCAGTTCTCTAGTGAGAGGTTTTTACTTATTATGAAGCAAAGGCAGAAATAAAAAGCCTTCCAATGACCTTTTCTGCTTGGTCCCACATCTGTGGGTCTCCCAGGAACTTCTCCGGCCTCGTGGAAAGGTTGAGTTTGAACGTGAAGCCAAACACGTCGTACACGGTTCTCAGGAAGTCCAGACAGCCCTTAATCTCCTCCTCGATCTGGGATCAACGACACAAACGTTCTTCTGTAGATTCAACACGAACCAAAACCATCAGCGGTGCAGACGGTTCCACTTCATTTGCTTCTGTAGCTACAGGGTATCTGCAGGTCCTTAAAAAGTTGTAAATTTGCTTTTCAAAATTTAAGGCCTTAAAAATCTTTAAAAATGACAAATAATCCTTAAATACAGTTTCCAAAGGTCTTAAATTACCAAACGCCCACTAAACAAGATTCTTTTATTTCTATAAAAATTTAGTGAATTTCTAGTTAGTGTTCAGCATTTTTTGTGTACGATGTTGCCGTAAGCGGAACCGTACACCTTCAGCTGGGTGTGAAAGGGGGCTATTTTTAGATGAGCACATTAGCTGGTTAAGCTAGTGGGAGCTTGCGCCATGGGGAAGTTTAATGCTAACTGGATGGCTAATCCCACGTTGGCGATGTGGTTAGCACCGGTTCCAGGCAATAGCTGGAAATTATAGCTTAGATTTAATTTTAAAAGTAGCTTAAATTTGGTCAAAGTGGCCTTAAAAAAGGTCTTTAGAAGTCTTAAATTTGGCTCCCAGAAACCTAAAAGAGCAGCTAACGACACAATGAAGATGCTGTTGCTAAGAGCAGAACGGCCCGCGCACGCCGCCGGCATTACTGGTACAGAAAACGTCACGAGTCCAAATTACAGAGCGAGCACATCAGAACCTTGAAATGAGAACGGTCTCCTGAACCTTCTGTGTGGTTTAACAGCGACTCCGGTCTGAGGAGTGGACCTGCTGATCGGGGAGTTTTCATCACGAACAACACAAAAAGACCCTGATGTACTCATCTTCTGCCTCTTACTTGTTCCACAACAAACAATCGTGTTGTTTTGGACGTTAATAGGGACGATGTTACAGACTGAAAGTGAATGCACCAGAAAAGGAAACCTTTATTTTCACATTTCCTCCCCTTACTGATCTTTAAATGAGTCAAAACTGCATCATCTTTAAGCGGCCGCTGCCACCTGAGGCAGACATCAGCCACAAACTTCTGTTTTATTTCTATTTTTTCTCTTCTTAAACCAAAATGACCAGAAAAGAGAAGCGTTTGATCCGACAGGCTTGGTGCAGGGCTCACCTGCTCCATGGAGCAGAAGATATGCGCGTCGTCCTGCTGGAAGCGGCGGACTCGGGTGAGTCCAGTCAGCGCTCCTGACAGCTCGTTCCTGTGCAGGACTCCGAAGTCGGCCATGCGGAGGGGAAGCTCTCTCCAGGAGCGAGGACGGTGATCAAACATCAGACTGGTGCCAAGCAGCAGAAAACAAGCAGAGCGCAAAAAATGCAACCGTCAGCTCCAATCCGGAGTCATCACAATGCATCACCGCGTCTGTGAAAGCCTGAATGAAACGCTCGATGTGACCGATGATCACCACACTAAACCACGCTGGGAGGCTCCATTTGGACTCCAGCAGGTGAAGATCTGAATACAAAGGACCGCTGGTTCTGCAGTAAATGGAACCGGGTCGTTTTACACAACAGCACCGGTCCGTTATGTGCTGAGATAAAGTCGTTAAAGAACTTCTGCAGCCAAGAAATGCAAAGACATCCATCTCTTGGTGACGTTGGAGCTAAGGTACATAGTCACAAAGTATTATAGTAACTTAAAAACGTGACTTTTGCTGCTGTTATGACTTAAAGTAGGTCATCTTTCAGGATTTACAGCAGAAAGAGTCGTTGACGCGAGTCTAGACCAATGACCACTAGTTACGTATAGTGGTGTGCATCTCCACCTGCCTCACGATTCAATCCCATTATCTGCCTAAAGATTGGATTTGAGTCTGAAATGCATCACGATTCTTCATGACTTAATAAAAGCAGTAGAATAGTTTTTAATTTCTTTTTTATTTTGATGTCCCTGAAAAACAGAACATTCATCTATTCACTATAGTGAGCAATAATGTTTAAAGTGTGCTGCCTATAATTACTTAAATAATAGAAGAAATAATGTTTTCGGTAGAGCAGCTTTAAGATAGAATATTACTGAACTTAACAATAGTAAACAAATACTGTGTTAAGTGGTTCTTCCACATCCAGGATCCCAAAACTGAAATTAGCCCAGACATCTGATTTAAATGTAACGGGTGCATCTTTGATGACTGGTAATGTTGGCCCTGTATCCCTGCCTGCACCTGTAGTTGTAAAACCTCTAAACTTTATTGTCCTCGCGTGTCCAGAACACAGACACAGGGAGAAAATCTCATTATGTCATGTTGCTGCATCGATGCAGAACCATGCACGGCTGAATCACGATGCATCTTAGAATCGATCATTTTTCCCACCTCTAGTTACGTCTCCACAAGAGGGAGCTCTTAACCAACAAGAATACGCCCCAGTAACCAGTATGCACTACTGGGTGACCCGGAAGAAGCTGGTAGTCTGTAACAGAGCAGCCGAGACCAGTAACGACGTTCCAGAGTCCTCGGCTGCCTTTTGCTTCTTAAAGAAAATCTGAACAGGAAGAGCAGGAGCGAGGGCTACAGCCGTTCCTCTCCTCGATGACATCACGCTTCGGACCGCCGCTTTAATACGAAACAGAAGACTCACCAATGTCCAGGGCAGTTCATGGGTTTGAGCGCAAAGGTCTCCTTCTCTGCTTCGAAGGAGAACATGTTCTCGCTGTAGTGCTGCCAGTGGCCCGAGGTCACCCACAGCTTACTGTTGTAGATGTTTGGTGTCACCACCTCCTGGAAGCCCCTCTTCCTGTACTCACTCTGTCTCTCACACACACACACACACACACACACACACACACACACACACACACACACACACACACACACACACACACACACACACACACACACACACACACACACACACACACACACACACACACACACACACGCACGCACACACACGTTTAATGTTGTAGATGTTTGAACATAAAATGAAAATCTAGTTTTGTATATTTTTAATTAACTAATTATTTACCAATTGTTCTTCTAAAGCATTTTAATACTCGACCCTAAACATGGAGGGCCTTCTCTTCAGCTAGTGTCCACATCGTTATAAACTCCTGTAAAGCTGTTAGTGACTCGTCTGTTCCTGCCGCCATATTTGCTTTTCACATAAGAGAGGTGGCTTTATAATACCTTATTATTTATCTTATGGTATATTATTATTATTATTGTTGTTGTTTCTGTTTGGTGCAAATAAACTTTAATGTTATATAAACATAAATAACTTTTAACTGAATTCTGTAAAAGGTTTAAAGTTCTGCAAACTGAACTCTACATTGGATTTAAAAGGATTTGATCAAATGAAAATGTTATTTTTAATACACCAAATCTTCATGTTTCACAGCACCTAGGCTCGTTTATTATATGTATATAAGTACATATATATATATATATATATATATTTGCATTTAAAACCATGTTTATGAAAGAGTTCATTAACTCCATCCTTGTGCATTTGGCTGTAAATGTTGGCGGGTTTAAAGAGTTCCTCTTAAATCAGCCTCATTCTTCAAAATCCGCTTGGTCTGAAATTCATTTTGACACATTAAAATGAAATTGCTTCCAGAAGTGTTTTCCACTCCGACGGCACACGCTGGAAGATTTAGAAAACCGATTTTTGGCTCTGTATAATTGAGCAACGGAGCTTTGCTCCAGCTGTCAGAAACATTTAATTTACATGTTTTAAAACGTATTCGTTCACGTCCAGGGCCCTGCCATTCATCAGCTGAGGCTGTGTTTGAGTTTGAGGTGAAGACGGGGATTAAATTAGAGATTGGGAGCCAGGGAGATTGAGAACAAGCTCCCCACGTCTCTTCAGCAGCTTGACAAACACAGTAAGATTGTGCAGAAAGTAGTGGCCGTCGGAGGATTCTGCAGCATCTCCTTGATGGAGGTCTCTGTATTAACGCTTCAGCTTCACGCGGAGCAGTTTAGGGCAAAAATGATCTCACCTACATTTTATTCAGCAGCTGGTAATAAATCATGCTTCTGTAGTTCTGCCTAAATGACAAATAAGGCTTAAAGTGACCGTGCATATTTTCCCCGGCGATAGGGGGCAGTACATACCTAAATCACTGCAAGCATCATTTTTCTGTTCAAATAAGACCGTACCAACGGAGGGCCATTAGGGTCAAAAATCCCTGGGAGCGCAACCTCCAGCAAAATAAGCAGAACATCCCTTTAATCGCTGGCAACGGGTGACGAGGTAAATGTGTAAAGCAGCAATGTTTATTAACGGTGAAAGTTTTTTAACCATTTGTTACAGATGAGTAAATGTGTTTTGTCCTCACGGGCTTCGGTAGAAGGAAACATGGCATCCAATTTGATGCCGCCCAGAGACTTAGACCCGCTAGCCTGGCCTGCCAGACTCCTCCTGTTTAATCTGCACAGAGAAAGGCTCTGGGAACCCTCCTATTCAAGTAACCCCGCCCCCTGAGAATTCTAACCGAGCCAATCAGCGCTGAGCAGCGTACGTCACACCATAACGCCGAGTTTGTCATAAACATGGCAACTGAAGCGGAGTTCGCTGAGGCTCTTTCCTCTGGTCTAAATGACTTGGACGCGTCTTTAAAACCACCACAAGTAGAAGTACTAAAAGCCTTTCTTCTGAAATAAAAGATGTTTGCGCCGTTGCCGGACACCTTTTTTTTTTTACTACAGCGTCACGCGGAACAGTCTTCCGTCTTTTTTCTGATTGGTCGTTTTTGAGCTGCCTAGTCCCGCCCCTCAAGTGCCTCTCTGCCTGTGAGTTACCAGACTCTCTCTCTGTGCAGAATTAAACAGAGGACGAGTCTGGCAGGCCAGCCTACAGACCTGCTCCATGTACTTTAGAACAGATTTTAATGGTTATATGTTATGAAACCACCAATATTTTTCAACTACTGGCCATCTTGTAATTAATTTACTACATTTCTATGGGTATTTCCAGAGATTAAAGGTAAAAACTACACATTGTCACTTTAAAGGCAGACTAGGCACTTTAGCCTGCTTTTAGCCCTCCCTAGTGTTCAGCTAGTGAAACCAAAATTAAAACGCATCTCCTCACTGTGCGTTTGTGTTTTTAACACCTTAATCTAACTGCTGAAATGTCTCCTCAGCCTTCCTTAGTTTCTACAGGAGCGGTACATCACTAAACCAAATGAATCAGCTGTGTCCACAGTCTAAAACATGCAGGAAGCAGAATCCAGCGCCGGCAAAGCTTCACTTTAATGATAAATGACCCGCACCTGTAGAGCGCCTCTCAGAGTCAGAGGACTCCAAAGCGCTTTACACTACAGCGTATCATTCATCCATTCACACACGCGGTAATGTAACCATTAATGCAATTCAGGGCACACTGACAGAGGCGAGACTGCTGAAGACAGGTGCCTTTGGTCCCTCCGACCACCACCTGCAGGCAACGCGGCTTAAGCGTCTTGCCAAAGGACACAACAGAATTCTCTGTCCGGAGCCAGGATTCAACCTGCAACCCTCTGACTACTGGACAACCCGCTCTACCTCTTGAGCCACTGCTGCCTCACTAACCAACAGGAGCCGGACCGGCACTCTGAAGTTGCAAGTCCGGTATTCTGGCAACAGAGGGCGGTGTGGGTCTACGTGACCTTTCATGAACCCTGCTGAGGGTCATTTACCACATACTGGCTCAGCTGAACTGTGTATAAATAACAATACAGATTAAATCTGTTTATTATTTTAGCTTTCATAAAAGCACTTAACGACTAAAATTAATATATTTTTAAGGTTGCTACCTTTTATTTGGAAAATCCCAAACATGTTTAGCTAATTACTAAAGCCTTTATCAGAGATGTAGTAGACATGAACAACGTGGCAGCGCCGCATCGAACACTGGTGAACACGCTGCTTCAGTTCGGAGCAGCTGACTACAAGTCTGTCCATTTCATTCTCTTCAGGTCTGCTGGCAAAACTAAACTTTCTGCCCCGTAACCTCCACTGTCTGACTCCTCTTGGAGCGAGACCAAAGTGGGAATCCACAGCGGGCCCGACAGCTCCAACTCACTCTGATGAACTCAATCAGCGTGTTGTAGATGAAGGCCCCTTTAGGCAGGAAGAAGCAGCTCCCTGGACTCAGCTCATGGAAGAAGAAGAGTTCCTGCTCCTGGATTTAAAAAAAAACAAATAAAAGAAGTTTGTTAGGAGTGATGGAAAATTAACGCAGGTAACCCTGAGGTCACACTGGTTTCTGTTTCTCATTATGCAACGGCTCGTCACATATTTAGTCATGTCTGCATCCGTTCTCCTGATCCTGCTCAGCTTGCTTCTCCAGAGCAGCTGCAGGATCACACACCCTGCAACGACTACCACAAGTCCAATGAAATCCTTTAAACTAGCATCGATTAGAAACGCTTCAGTAAACACGTCATGGGAACATTCTTTTAAATTCTTTGACAGAATGTGTGTTCATCACTAATAAGTACCTTTACCTGTTCACCCAGTAAAGCGGTAACATCATGTGGTAACACGTTCGTTTAGGGAACACAACTTAACCATTAATTAGCTGCCAGTGGACTACTAAGTCTGAACTAGTCATTATTAAGCACTTATTAACACGTTATTACTAATGCCATAATTCTAACATGAACAGGCCATAAATTAAGAGTTTCATCATAATAAACCATTCATAATGGTTTGTTAACTGAAAGTAAATGGTTGGTTGCTGATTAACGCACAAACTAAGTAGCTCAAATCAATATTTGGCTTTTAAAGAAGTAATTCAGGGGGAACATATTCTTGCCTTTATGTGGTTAATTAATACAGAACTACTAGTAATTAGGTATGACCTAAATCTGACGTTAGAATGGGGAACATGTTCTTGCTTACAAGTGGTTCATTGATTGCTGTTTAGGCTCTAATAACATGTGGAGTTTGGTGTTTATTAACATAATACCAGAACATAATATTTTTGGTTATTAATGCAGAATAACTATTCCCCTTGAATTACTTCTTTAAAAGCCACGTATTGATTTGAGCTACTTAATATGTGCGTTAATCAGCAACCAACCGTTTACTTTCACTTAACAAACCATTATGAATGGCTTATTATGATGAAACTCTTAATTTATGGCCTGTTAATGTTAGAATTACAGCATTAGTAATAAGCACCTAATAATAGCTTAATGACCAATTCTGACTTAGTAGTCCACTAATATGCATATTAATTGGCAGCTAATTAATGGTTAATTTGTGTTGCCTAAACTAAAGTATTACCCATAATGCATTTATTCTGCAAGTATTAAAAATGCACCTTAGCTCAGAAAACACCAACATACCATAAATGACTCACAGGTGCAAACCCTGCGGGTGGCTGCTTTAAACCTGTCTACATCTCAGCTCCTACCCGGCCCAGTTTGCGGTGATCTCTGTTCTTGGCCTCCTCCTGAAACTTCTCCCACTCTTTGAGCATTTTAGGGTCGGGGAAGGAGATGCCGTAGATCCTCTGGAGGGTTTCCATGTCTGCCTTTCCCTCCCAGTAGGTCGACGAGTTCTAGCACAGCGCAGAGGAAAAACAACTATTCATTGTTCTTTAAAGTCCATCAAATCCTCTGAGATTAGAACACAAGAGTGAATCTGCTGCCTGCAAACGTGGGAACAAACTGAGTGCGTGCAGCAACAACGTGCACAGCGAAGCGCACGCTAACCTTGTGGATTTTAAGTGACTTGATCTTTCCGGTGTGTCTCACATGAGGCCCCCGGCACAAATCAATTAAGGGACCGCATCTGAAAGGACAAAATGTCTGAGAGTTTGTTGGATGAAGATGAAACAAGCGAGCAGCTGTTGTTTTTCCTGCCTCGGACTCACCTGTAAACCGTGGTCGTCGGGGTGGTGACTTTCTCCTTCAGAATGCGGCACTTAAACTTGTTGTACTGAAACGGGTAAAACAATCATTACATTTTACTGCGATTATCTTTAGTTATCACTCATACGTGTTTAATAATACCTTGAACATCTCCAGCAGAGTTTCCTTCTTTATTTCCAGCCTTTCGAACGGCTGCTTCTCTTTGATGATTTTTTTGCACAAGTTCTCCAGATAGGGAAAGTCGTTGCTCGATACGCCGCTGTCCCACACAAGAAGAGGTAATAATAATAGTAACGGTACGTGCAGCATAGCTTTTTCAGTTAAAAACATTTTCTCCACCTCTTAGTAAGTTCTGCCTCCGTCTCCAAAGAGCTTCACGCCCATGACCTTTAACTTAATCGCCAAGAAAGGTCAGACAGTTGAAGTCGTTGGCTTTAGGGCTTAAGCAATGCCAAAATATCCTTGCTACAACAGTCCCTAGGAACGCCATTAGCATAAAACAACTTCATTATGTAGGCTGTAGAATAAAAGAGACAGCACTGCCCAAGCTCTCAAAGCTGGAACAAAGGTGTGAAAAAAAATCCAAGGAAACATTCGTTACCAGTCGGGATGTAAGAAAATACGCTGAAATATCACAATATCTCCTATTATGATACGGATTTGATATTTAAAAGCAGTGTGTCGATTTGGAGAAGTTAAATGCAAACATATACGTATTTCTTTTTGTGAGGTGTAATTCAACGTCTCACTGCTAGGTGGCAGCAGTTTTTACCACCTTCATTCTGACAGGACAAGATCTGGCGATATCCTCTCCCCTGGTTTGTGATTTATGTCGCATCGCCAGATCTTTGCCAATAAACACCCCGTGTCACCAATATACCATAAAAAATGAACATTTTAAGTCCACACCTGTGAGAAGATCCACCTGGAGGCCAATGGTTTTATAACGTTCGGTTATTTTTTAGTTCATATTATGGAGCAATGTAAAAGAACCTGTTAGACGCCTGTTACACCCAAAAGCACGCCCAAGGAATGAAAACGTGTGGATCAACCCACAGTCTTTGAAACTCACTCATTGTTTTCTAGAAACATGTCGTAGTAGAAGCCACTCTCGATTGGAGGACCGTAGCACAGGCAGCCTCCGTACACCTTCTCCATCGCTTCACCAAGAATATGAGCACTGGAGTGCCAGTAAACCTAAAGAAAACACAAACGCATCATTAAGTCGAACAATCTAGGATTTTCTTAGCATTGGTGCTTCCAATTAATAACCCAACAATGGTTTAAGCCTAATGTTGTATTACATCAATTTTTTATTCATTTGATGAAAAACAAAAAGGCGGTATGGTTTTGATCCTCATTCACCCAACAATATTTCCTAAACCTAAAGTGTGATAAAAAACGAGATGAACTTACAGCTTGAGCCTCCTCATCATCAAACTTGAGCAACTGAAGGCTACAGTCGTCTTCCAAAGGTCTGTCCAGGTCCCACACACTGTTGTTTACTTTGGCAATCACCGTGTTGTCAGCAAGGCCTTGACTGCACAAGAAATACGACAAACTACACATCAGAAAAATATCACACCTCTCCTTACGTGTCTTAAACACTGGAACACCACAGGGCTGTGTGTTCAGTCCCCAACTGTACTTCCTGTTCACCCATGACTGTGTTGCTAGTCACGCTACGAATTCAATCATCCAATATGCAGATGACACATCCATCTTAGGCCCCATCTTGTACAATAATGAGTCAACCTATAAAGACGAGGTGAAGGCCCTGAGTAACTGATGACTGGACAACAACTTAAATCTCAATGTCGGATAAGAGATAATTGTGAACTGGTGGAGAACACCAGACCATTTGCATCACTGGGGCGAAGGTCGAAAGGGTCAGACGTCCTAAGAAATTCAGACTAAACATGACTGAGGACCTCATGTGGACCCGACCACATAAACAAGATGAAGAAAGTGCATCAGCCACACAACTTACTTCCTTTTTTAATAATTATCTTACTTAGAAACACATTTCATTGTAATTTTGACTTAGTTAACTTATTTATAACAAATACTTAAAGTCAGTATTAGAAGATCACCAATAAACCATTTTAACATCAGCTAAAATGGCTGCTCCACTTACTATTGGATGTATCAGAGATACGGGTTCATGTTTATATTTACACACTAATGAATAGACTAAGAAACTTTCAAGCCGATTAGAAAATTTAGACCCATTTAACTTAATAACTTGTTTGCGTTATGATAAAGAAATGTGGTCAGGATGGTAGACTGAGGGATGTTTTCATTGGCCAGGTTTATGGGCTGCTTAAGCTGAACATTTTCAGCATGATTCCAGAAATAAAACTCAGAATTTATCATGATTTTATAAACACGCCAGACCCCAAAAAAAATCATATGTGACTGACATTAATAATAAATGCTCTATTGACAATTCTCTCCCATAATATCAGAGTAACACGAACAATACTAATGCAATGCTTCACCAAGATTTAATAAACTAATGAGATTTTTTTTTGTCTTGTGCATGACGATTTAATAAATTATTTCCTTTAATGAACAGTCAAAGGTTGGCGGGTGACATTTGCAGTCACTGGTTTTAATAACACTGACGCTGTGAACCCTTTAGGAAAGTGTGACGGTACCGACAGGCTGCATAAATAATCCTGGCAGTTCCTCTTTGGCAATCAAATTTCGATGATGTGCTTCTTTTTAACTCTACATTAAAACAAGGTGTAATATTAGAATAATTACAGTAATTACACTGACCTGATTCCACTTGCCACTTGGTACGGGGTGGTCTTCCAGGACTCCGCCTCCACCACCTTCCCATCAGGCAGGGTCACCTTGATAGGTTTGCTATCCTTTGCAGCTTTCTCTTCCATCAGAGCGTCGTGCTCAGCTTTCAGCTTTGCATACAAGGTGAGACGGTCTTCGATGTACTGAGGTGGTGGTGACAGCTAGAGGGGAGGATACAGCTGCGCATGAAACGCCTGGTAGTAGATGAGGCTCTTAATATGACATTTATCAATATTAATTTAACACAAATAAAATTCTGATTTAAAAGAAAATGTAAATAAATGAATGAATAAAAATATATATATATATTTTTTCCGTATTTAATGTAATTCTTCTCTTTGCATTTCCCCACAGCTTTTCTTGTGCATTTTATTTGAAGGTAAAATAGGGATTTTAATAATAATGAAGTTACATTTTTGTTCATACATTTCAGTAATGTGTCCCCCCCACACACACACATATGTATTTCTAAATTTCGCAGCAATAGAGAGAGAGAGAAAAAAAACAGGCTTTGGGAAATGCAGCAACTAGTAACTTTGAAATCAAAATTAAAAATTTTCATGTATTCATTAGCCTTTGAATTAATGTGTCTTATGCTGCACCATCTGCACTGTAACTGCTCACCCTTTAACTTTGTCTTTTTTCTGATTCATTATTCTGAAATAAATTTGTGTATTTAATTTAATCTTAAATGTATTTGCATATTTTCATTGTGTTGTCACATTATTTTATTGTTCGTGTTATTCTCGCTAAAGCACATCGGATTGCCTCTGGGTATGAAACATACTATAACAATAAGCTGCCTTGTGTTCGAGCAAAAACATGTAGCTGAAACCATCTGCATGCGAGACAATTTCTGTACTAAAACAAAAAAGACAAATTCTAAACTCAAATAGGTTTTTTTTATGACAATTCATGCAGTTTACAAATTTTGTAACTGGACCTTCTTGAAATATTTGGTGAAATAGTTTATTTTAATACATTAAGTCACAAACTTTTAGTCAATTTGTGACATTATGGATCATATCTCACCTCAGACTTGCCAGCGGAGTCTCCAGCAGGAGTTTTAGCTTTCTTCTTCCCACCGTCTTTCCCGCCTTCAGCTGAATCCTGTCCAAGCATCGTACCATAAGTATAGTAATCAAAACAAGAATGTGTCATTTTTCTGATTCATAAATCTGAAATGAATTTGTGTATACAATTTCATGTAAGTTTATTTGCATATTTTAATTGTGCTGTCACATTATTTTAATTTCTGTGTTATTCTCGCTAATAGAAAGCACGTCGATTGCATTTGGGTATTAAATATACGATACAAATAAAGTTGCTTTGTGTTGCCTTGTGTTCAGAGACAATATATCAAGGAAAAGCATGTAGAAAAAATACTGGGCGACGGTGGTACAGGAGTTAAGTACCACTCCTGTAATCGGAAGGTTGCGGGTTTGAGCCCCGCTCAGTCTGTCGCTGCCGTTGTGTCCTTGGGCAAGACACTTAACCCACGTTGCCTGCTGGTGGGGGTCGGAGGGACCGGTGGCGCCAGTGCTCGGCAGCCTCGCCTCTGTCAGTGCGCCCCAGGGCAGCTGTGGCTACATGGTAGCTCATACCCACCAGTGTGTGAATGTGTGTGTGAATGGGTGAATGACTGATTGTGTTGTAAAGCGCCTTGGGGGGTTCCAGGACTCTAGAAGGCGCTATATCAAATACAGGCCATTTAGCTGGAACCGTTTGCATGCAAGATAATCTCTGTCCTATAACAAAAAGGACTGCCAAATTAAAAAAAACTAATCGGTCTTTCATGCAGTTTGTACATTTTATAACTGTACTTTTAAAATATTTGGTTTGTTTTCAAACATTATTTTACAAACCTTTTGTCATTATGTGACACTTAGGGTCATATCTCACCTCAGACTTGCCAGCAGAGTCTCCAGCAGGAGTCTTAGCTTTCTTCCTCCCACCATCTTTCCCACTTTCAGCTAAATTCTGTCCAAACCAAAATACCAAAAATATAGTAATCAAAACAAGAATAAGTTTTCAGATTACCACTAAACTAATTCATTCTCGTTTTAAAACGAGTTGTTTAAATTTATAGGCTACAGACAGCAAGTCCCATTTAAATATGAAGAATTTAGAAAAAATACAGGACACGTCAAACCAGTTTCCAGTGAAGCTAAGTCAAATCCAGGATGACAACACTAGAACTCTTGATTACTCCATACATGCAAGTGTTGCTAAAATAGTGTGTTTTGAATGGAAATATTGCTCACTGAGGCATATCTGGATGCCGAACGACAAAGCTAAACGAGGTGAGGTAGAAAATACATGGAAAGTTAACTGGTATCGGAAAGTATTACTGTCTGGCAAGGACACATTTAAATATCAAAAATACTTCATTAGGTTTGGCGCATAAAGACTCCTGAGCAACGTTAGCCTAAACCAAATAAAGACAACAATCCTCAAAAAGATGCCAACACATTAACTAACGTGTTCCCATGAAACAAACGTTTAGATTGTTAGATTTATATACATACAAAAGAAAATGAAACGAACCAGCTAGCGGATGTTAGCACCGCATTGGTATAGGCTAGCTGACAGCATGCTAGCTAGCTTAAAATAACTTCCATTATCTGTTTAGTAAGCTAATCTTTTACCTTTTTGCCTTCTGTCACTTGCATTCCATTCATTTTCTCGACGATAGCTTGTTCGGCCATAACAATTAAAAAGACCGGTCAAATCCCAGACCCAGAGCAAACTCGTGGAGTAAAAGGCAAAAGCAGGACCGGGTGACGGACGGCTGATGACGTCTCCCGGATATGCTGATGCAACATTACCTGGTGGGAGGAGCTTTGGTTGTTTTAAAAATCAGAAATTGATTATAATAACAAGCATTTTATTTACTTTTCTCTCTGTTTTTTCTATAAATATCATATTAAGTTCACTGACAAATGCAGAATATTTAAAGATTTTCCCCATAATAACTAAATGTAAATGCAATGCACATGTAACTAAATATTAAAGCCTTATTTTAATTATATTTAGTTTAACAACTTGTGTTTTAGAAGGATAAAAAAAGACACTGGAGATAAGACATCTTGTTTACGAGCGAGTCCTCTTTCCACACAATAAATAAAGACCAAGATAGCAGAGTCAATACTGGCATCACACTAAAAAGCCAAACAAAAAGGGAAAATAATTGATAAAAATTTAAAAAAAAAAGTCCGAGCTGCATTATAGAAAAATGTGTGCTTGCATTTCTGTAAGAGTCCACATGTACATTCTCAATTCACACACACACACACACACACACACACACACACACACACACACACACACACACACACACACACATGTATACGAAAACAGACACAATTTGTTAAAGCAAATCACATGCAGGTTTGAATTTGAATTTGTTTGAACCTGTACAATAATTTATTATGAATTTATTTGAGCAAAATACCAACCTAACCCTAACCCAAATGTATAAATCACACTGATTTGTCAGCTGCACCCATCCGATCAAACTGCTGTTATGACTGCAAAACTATAGAGCAGATACACATCTTTAATCATTAAAGACGCTGAAACAGGAAAAGTATTCAGTCGATCCTTCCTCCAGCTTGATTTCCACCTTACAAAGTATGAGTGGGCGTGAGGACTTGAGATATGTGTGAGTAAATCTTACAAGTAGATGGGTAGTTTGCTTTATAACAATTAGTCTTACATTGTCTGCCAACTGCTGTGTTTATTTTTAGATCGGCTGTCTATAGCCTTCTGGACATTTTGCAATACCTAATTTAATTTTGATTCCCAAAGTATGCTGCAAATATTAGGACTGCGTGCATAGAATAGTGATGCAAAGTAATCCACATAATCAGAAATAGGGGTATGTTGCATAAATTAAATATATTAAATATTTAGCCATTCTTTAATAAAGCAGTGCTTTTGAATTTTTTATGTGTTCAGTTTAAACATTAAGGAATGCAGGTGTATTTTTTAATAATTAAACAGGTGAACTAGTAAATCTACACACATAAATCACAGTCAGAATGCATCAGACAGATTTATCTTACGAGTAATTATAATCATCCTACTGATGCCTCTGCTTGCTGAGGAGACTATCTCAGGTCGTGCTTGCTCGATATTTTCATCCGCCGTGCTTGCAAGGCGCCAGACTTCCGACAATTTGTGCATCTCAATTAAAGCGGAATACCAGGTTTAAACTTGTGTCAGTCTCTGAGGGAATAAGGAAGCTGTCACTCACTGCAAGATCCTGCTGTTCTTGTCTTGTGAGGCGAGGAAAGTCTTGAATAATTAAACTTCAAAGTGCTTGAAAAGTCAGGCACCATTTTTTAGTTCTTGGCTCAGTTTTGGGCTTTGAACACCGCTCCTGTTGCTGCTCAAATTTACAACGCAAATCGTTAGACGCCAGAGCACGATTAGGCTACAACACACCTCACTGGATGATGACTTTCCCTTTAAGGTTAAGTACTTTAAATATTTAATTATGGACAAATTACTGTTATCATTAAATACATGAAGACAATTTATAATTCTAACATATCACATACACACACACACACACACACACACACACACACACACACACACACCAACCACTTCATTGGGTACACCTGTTCAATTGCTTGTAATGCAAATGATTAATCAGCCAATCACACGGTGGTAACTCAATGGATTTAGTCACGCTGACATGGTCCAGACAATCCGCTGCAGTTCAAACTGAGCTTCAGAATGGGGAAGAAAGGTGATTTAAGTGACTTTTAAGGTTGCATGGTTGTTGGTGCTGGTCTGAGAATTCCAGAAACTGCTGATCTGGGATTTTCATGCACAACCATCTCTAGGGTTTACAGAGAACGGTCAGAAAAAGGGAAAACATCCATTGAGTGACACTTCTTTTGGCAAAAATGCCTTGTTGATGCCAGAGGTCAGAGGAGAATGGCCAGACTGGTTCGAGCTGATAGAAAGCCAACAGTAACTCAAATAATCACTCGTTACGCCCAAGGGACGCAGAAGAGCATCTCTGAACATGCAACACGTCGAACCTCGAGGCAGATGGGCTATAGCAGCAGAAGACCACACCGGGTGCCACTCCTGTCAGCTAAGAACAGTAAACTGAGGCTAGAATTGGACAATAGAAGATTGGGAAAATGTTGCCTGGTCTGATGAGTCTCAATTTCTGCTGCGACGTTCAGATTGTAGGGTCAGAATTTGGCAACAACAGCATGAAAGCATGGATCCATCCTGCCTTGTATCAACGGCTCAGGCTAGTGGTGGTAGTGTAATGGTGTGGGGGACAGTTTCGTGGCACACTTTGTACCCCTTAGTACTAATTGGTCATTGATGCAATGTCGCAGCCTACCTGAGTATTGTTGCTGACCATGTCCATCCCTTTATGACCACGGCATACCCATCTTCTGATGGCTCCTTCCAGCAGGATAACACGTCATGTCATAAAGCTCAGATGATCTCAGACTGGTTTCTTGAACATGACAATGATTTCACTGTACTCAAATGGCCTCCACAGTCACCAGATCTCAGTCCAATAGAGCACCTTTGGGATGTGGTGGAACAGGAGGTTTGAATCATGGATGTGCAGCTGACAAATCTGCAGCAACTGCGTGATGCTGTCATGTCAATATGGACCAAAATCTCTGAGGAATGTTTAGAGTACCTTGTTGAATCCATGCCATGAAGGATTAAGGCAGTTCTAAAGGCAAAAGGGGGTCCAACCCGGTACTAGTAAGGTGTACCCAATAAAGTGGCCAGTGAGTGCAAAAAAAAAAATATATATATATATAATTTATAAAATGTTACTACTTTAATAATTTATTGTAAAAGTATTGCAGGTAAATATTCTATGAGCCGTTAAATAAAGCAGTGCCTGGAGAGGATGCAAGGGTGTGAAACAATGACAACGTTTTTTTGTTTTTGTTTTTTTCCAGTGAGAAAGTGAGGAAAAAGGCACAAAACACAGTTAAAATAACTCTATAAAGTGGATTTATTCAGGGAGACCCTTCTCTAGTGAGGATGAGATTTATGTGCGACGTCCAGAGCAATCCTCTAATTTCTGCTTCATAGTGTCTTATGTTCTGCCTCTGACCGTTAGGTGTCAGTAGAGAAATCTAGCAAGGGACACGGCAGAATAGCAGTAGGTCGTAAATGCTGCTTTCAGTCTTCAATTTGCACTCTCCGACAATGCAGCCCGACACCGTCACCTCCCTCTGAAGTTTTGATACAGCTGGAATTTGTCATCTCTGGAGATTGCTGCCCCGGGTTCCTGCCTCACTTCGCTTCACGACTCAGTCAAAGAAAATAACAGAGCCAAATACATGGAGGGATTTGAGCCGAATGCACTATAAATATTTGATGTCATGATCAGACGCTTTTCAAACAGCGTCTGTGTAGTCACTGTTCAGTGCAATGCACGAGAGAACACTTTAAAGATATAAAAATGTCAGAAACCCCAGCTTTGTGATTTTATACCCGAGGCAAGAAATCTTCTAAACAAAAGGCTGGAGCGTGATGCAACAAAGATGTAAAACCTTGAGATGGACGGAGTAAGTGGAGATGATGGGAGAGCTGTGGGACATCAGATTTATGAAAATATCTCTGTGAGTTAAAGTATTCTTGTTGTCTAGTTTGTGTCTTCCAAGGGTAAAATCCAGTGTGGAAACCTCCTGGCCTTCAACTGGCCTCTGCTGGAAAGAGATGACACCAGGTCAGAGACAAGGGCGGGTTGTTCACCCCATCTGAGCCGACAACCATCTGCTGTAAAATCCTCAGTGAGATGGGTTAGTCCTGCATTTGTCTTCAAACTGTAGACTTTAAACTAAAGCTTTTTAAAGAATCCTTCAGTCTCATAGTCTCACGTTGGTTAGAATAAAGGAGTCCCTTTTGAACAGAAAACATGCTTATTTTTATTATTCTGCTTACGTGGTGCAGTCAAGAGGCCATTTGTGAAAATATCACAAGTCACAGGATAGCTCTGTCATCTTGGAGCAGTGGCGTGCCTAAGGGTTGGCCGGGGAGGCATGGCCACCCCTCGAAAATTGCTGCCCCCCACCCCCCAACAGACAAAATACTTTGATAAATCACATTTATGTTCACACAAACCCCATTCGTTTTCTATAACAGATAAAAATGCAAATACATTTTTTATTATTTAGCAAATGAATCATAATTTCAATAAATTTCACTGAAGTTCACCATTTTCAAAAAAATGCATTAATATCAAAAGTATTTGAGACAGCAACAGACAAATACTCCCAGAGTTAACACAAGAACCAATTTGGTGTGCCACCCCAAAATAATCACAGACCCATCTGGGCCCCCATTTGGGGGCACCACTGTCTTGGAGAAATCTGGATTTTATTACGCTCCTTAAGGATTATATAATATTTAGAGAACACGCTCAAAGAAAGACATTTTCTTTTGCATTTTTAGTTTCAGGAGCTGTGAAACTTCATCTTGCCGTTGCAGTAAGTAATTGAAAAAAAATCGTAATATTGATTTAATTTTTAACTTCATCTTTGCCGTCATGAATTCAGTTCAGTTCATTTTTATAAAGAGTCAAATCGTGATCGGGGTTATTTGCATGAATAAGTGAAGACTTTCTGCTCAGGTAAAAAAGGACAACAGCTTGTTTTAATGGTTTAACCTGCAAGTCATTCACATGGCAGAGCATCCTTTCTTTTTGAAAAATGCTCCAAAATAAACAGAAAAAAGCCCAATAAAAGTTTAAAAATCTAAAAAAGCGTGTGAACGTTGGAACTGAAAGTATATTATTGCTGTTATTTTAATTAT